TGGCCATGTGGTAAGATAGTAAGTGATTTTTTACTTAGTCTGGATGCTTTTCAAGCATATATTAACCTTTATCGTAAAAGTAGATAGGAGACCTATTTATGTAAGAATATATAAAGAGGTGGCCATGTGGTAAGATGTAAGTGATTTTTTACTTAGTCTGGATGCTTTTCAAGCATATATTAACCTTTATCGTTGGCAGATGAAATTATTTCCCACTTGAAGAGAGCTTTTAAGCAAATACCATTTTCTTTACGGTATCAGAGGCCGGAATATGCTAGAGAGCTCTGTCTGGTCCCCACTGCTGAGTGCCTGGGTCTGGGGACCTTGGCCTCCCTGCCTTCTCCCGCCTCATATTGTTTCCTCTTCCCTGCAGACTGCAATAAGGTCACTGATCAGTGCCTGTCCTTCTTCAAACGCTGTGGAAATATCTGTCATATTGACCTGAGGTACTGCAAGCAAGTCACCAAGGAAGGCTGTGAGCAGTTCATAGCCGAAATGTCTGTGAGTGTCCAGTTTGGACAAGTGGAAGAAAAACTCCTGCAAAAACTGAGTTAGTCCAAGGACAAGTATGTAAATATGGGGTGGGCAAAAGAGGGGAGGCAGCTGGGGAGGAGGAAAGACTTTACCAAAACGAGGGTTTTTATTTTCCATTTGGAACTTGGAACAGACCACAGAACGATTCCATTTTGCAAGTCTTGCCAGAGGAGAAGGTGTTCAACCACCCTTTGGGGGATGAGTGAGCCGGACACTTTCCTTTGGTCTTTCTAAATTGCAACTGCACTGCTTTCTGGACCATTTCTAAGGTGGCCTTTATAAGAAGACATTCCCATCGGAGAGGAGGGTGGACTTTGGAGAAATTCTGTTATCAGAGCATGAGTTTAGGAGCTTTTGTTGTTGGTGGTGTTGTTTTGGACACCTCATTCCTTGCAACTGTGAGGTTTCTTGGTGTCGACCTAAAGTGGACCACACACCACATCTGCTGCCGTCTTGACACTTTTTTTGTTTGGTTTTGTTACATCTTACATTATGCAGAACTATTTTTGTACAAATTGTTTAAAAGTTATTTATGCAAGGTTTGAATGCATATCAGTGGTTTTTTTTTTTTATTGTTTTGAGATTGCCAACTTTCCTGATTTCCTTTAGGAGAGAACTTAACCCGTACTTCATTGACACAAATAACCCATCTTCAAATGTGCCCAGATCTGACAAAGTGGGCTAAGCCCTTCCACTTAACAGCATGTTTAAGTGGAAGTTGACAGCCTGCTTTGTATGTCAAGAAGTTACATGAGCATGTTGTGGATATATGTAAATTATAGTCAAAGTTAAGACACTTTGCCAAGTTTCCTCTGTACAGAATTCACCTTTTTCTCAAAATTTTAAAATTCAGATTTCAGCCTTTGCACTCAGGAGGGTTTTGCTCCAGCATGAGCTCTTGTACTCTACATAGATCTAATTTATACAGTGAATCAAGAAGTAGAATAAATGCTCCCACATAGCTTTTCTTTTCCTTTTTTCTCTCCATTGAAGTGTGAGTTGAGTTCTCCTTTAGGTTTGTGACATGGCTATTCCTAGTTGTAAAGTTCTGCATTCATAAGTGCCATTGTTGTAAGGTGGTGTTTCCTGAACTTTCCCTGATGCAGTTTTACCTTTGTTGAATTTGTATAAACAATTGTACAAAAAAAACACTTTTGGAGTTTGAGGGTTTTTGTTCAAGGAGTGGACTAAAAATTTAATTGGAAAGTCTTAGTATGTTGTTTTGAGGCCAAACAATATAATTTCTCATTCATCTGAGAAGTGCAGCAGCCCTGTGGTATGTGATTTTTTCCTTTTTTCTCTTCAGAAGGAGATCTGTTTCTGGCTAAGTGTAATGGCAAAGAACTATGCTACGACAATGGCCCTGTGTAGGAATTTGGTACAGATTTCCTTAAGGTTTGAGGTGGCACACCTGTTTGGATGCCTCTTCCCACACCTGTACGAAATAACTTCCATGGCCACTTGACATTACTGTTACCTGAAAGTTGCCCAGATTGGTGGGGGGGGGGGGGATCATCTCCTCAACATCCCACTGGAGGCAACTTAAGGAGGCTGCATCGTTCATGGGTAGCCTTGGACCATAGTGGCTGTAGGAGGCAGTTGGTTATGAGATAACTTCCCCAGTGGCAGAGAAACTAGTGAGAAGTAATTTTAGATCACTAATTTTTTTAAAGACAAGGCACTTTGACCTCATTCATATACAGAATTAACTATAGTGAATCTGAAAGTGCAGAAGAGAACTTCCTTAATCATCAAGAGCAATGTAGGACCTTGGCCCCATGGGACATATTGAGTTTTGCATTTGCACCCCTTATCTTTTTTTTTTAACTCCCTGACAAAAATGGTTTTATGAAATAAGACAAAGTCAGATCAGATCCCACCTAGATCCATGGCTCCTGTTAATTTAAATCCAAAGACCCTTTCTTACTCAAACTGGAGACATTTGAAGCCATTGCACCCCAGAATTGAACTCCGGGAATCCACTTAACAGAATTAAGATTAGTTAACACACTATGGCTTATTTATAAATGTGGCTACCTTTGCGAGCCTGATCATTTAGCAAGCAATGCCCCCATGAGAGGTAAAGTTTTCCTGGCAGCCTGAGTTCTCCAAACCTCCAAATTTTAAGACAGGTACCCTGCTCTCCAGTAAAGTTATCCTCTTCCATGGGAATTGCTTTAAGGGTAATCATGGTTTTCAGGTGAACAGTCCCTGAGGTCACTCATTAGTTGACTTATAGCTGCAGCTGGGACTGGTTAAGTGGGGCTTGGTGTGAGACGGCAGCATTTCTCTTGTAAGGCCTCCTGGAGCACCCAGGTCTGCTGAGGGGCTCCCAAGGCTGGAGATCCAAGCCACCTTGGGAACAGGCAACAGAGCAAAGACATGGCATATTTCCAGGTGGGGGCCACCGGGGTGCAGTGGGCACAGAATAGTTACTCCCCTAAGAGTACTGAACATTCCAGTAGGGTTATTTCCCCAGTACAAGTCCACAGTCTCTGTGCAGACCTTTTATTTTAAAAATGAGCTTCAGATGAGGCCAGCCTAAGCCAAATGCTACACATAGCTGCTATGAGCCCACACAGTATGTCTGATGAAAATGAAAGGACCATGAACTTGAGGGAGTGCTTGCTGTGTTAAATCACAGCTTCTTTAGGGCCGGCCCGGTGGCGCACTGGATAGTGCGCCGCTTGGGAAGCGCGGTGACGCTCCCGCCGAGGGTTCGGATCCCACATACAGACCGTTTCCCGCTCACTGGCTGAGCGAGGGGCGGGAGCAACGCCGAGGGTTGCGATCCCGTGGCCGATCCCGGTCCGGTACGGGCGCGACACTGAGGGTTGCGATCCGTTGCCGGTCACGAAAAAAGACAAAAAGGAAAAAAAAAAAATCACAGCTTCTTTAACCTAGAACAGAGAGGCTCTGTTCCTTCCTCTGGTGAATCTGATGTTTATAAAGGAAGATAGCATGGCTCCTCATGCTATCCTTTCATATTGTGAGGATGGGGACAAGGAAACTTTACTGGATCCCACTGGGAACTTTCAGAATTTTATCCATATGATACAACCTATTCAAGATATTACTTAATTGGTATGGAAACTTTAAAAAAAATGCAAATTCCCAGGGGAAATGTTTGCTCTCTGCCAAACAAGTTAGTACTTTGTAATTCAGTTATTCCAAGTGTCAAGCCTGTTAAACTAAAAATTTCTGTTGGCTGGTCACTAAACCCAGGGTTATTTCAAAATGCTACCTAAAAAAAAGTCCACTGAGTTTTTGTACTCTTGCTATAAAAGAAGCACCTAAGACAATATATAAATCCAAGAGGAAACATTAAACAAGCTTAAATAGCTGTCTTAAGCTGAGTCTGTGTATAAATAAACCTGAATTTTAACTATACACAAAATCAGCACCTGTTGTTCAGCTTCTGTTTAAATTTGTTTAACATCACCTTCTGGCCTAGATTTAAAGATTTCCCATCACTAAGTTAGCAACTTGAAACTTCCAGAGTTCACTGTCTCATGAGACAAGTGCCCATAATGCTGCTTCTGTAGGGAGGTAATGATCAGCTCAAGCTCGTTACCATTAATTGTGGTAGGCAGACAAAATAGCTGAGAGGTCTTGATTTACATGCTTTGACCCTCAAAACCAGAAAAGGTAGAAAAGCATGTTTTTCACAATCAGCTACTTATGCCCTAAGCACAGGGAGCCAGACTACCTGCCTTCTGAAGTTCACAGGTATTTCAGGTCTGTTGACTAACTGAACCTGAGCACCTGAAGACATGTGTTACCACAGAACAAAAAGATAACAGACAACTGAAGTTAGGCATTTCTTAAAAGCATATCTGCCCACTACCAATGGGACTGAATCTAGTTGGTCTCGACTCAACCAAAGATATCCTGATTCAAGTTGGACCTACAAAAGAAGAGATTTCAGAACCTTTTTGCATAAGCTAATATCTGAGGATTATCATTTGCTATGTGGTATTTTATTTTTATTTTTTTTAAAGATGACCGGTAAGGGGATCTTAACCCTTGACTTGGTGTTGTCAGCACCACGCTCACCCAATGAGCCAACCGGCCATCCCTATATGGATCCGAACCCGGGGCCTTAGTGTTATCAGCACTGCACTCTCCTGAGTGAGCCACGGGCCGGCCCGCTATGTGGTATTTTAGACAATTCATTTAACTTCTCAGAGGTCAGGTTCCCCATCTGCGAAGCAAGGCAATATCTCTTTCAGAATGCAGCTTTAACGACTGCTAGAGATAACCATAAAGCACCTAGCACAATACCTAGACACAATAAATAGCAACAGCAGTTAACCTTACTGATTAAGTAAGCAGCAAAGACAGGTACTGGGGCTCACTCTGACATCTGTGCATGTGCTCTAAGCTCTTTTGAGGAAGGGGGGCTAGGCCAGGGCACAGATATCTATCTATTCATGCTGTATGCAAGGGAATCAGGAACTGACCAAGACAATGTAAACAAAAGCTTTTATTTTATTTCTAATTTCATTCCTAATGTTGAAATTAGCTAGCGGATAGCACTGAAAATACACCTTCACTATACAAAACAGTGTAAACTGATTACACATTAATAAAGAATTTAGCATACACACTTCCAATTAAAGAAGCTAGATGCAGCCCTTGCTATAAAAAGCTGTACCTGAACAAAAATGGACATGTTTAGTCTAAGGCCCTGGCAGTTGACTACAGAATGTCAGTTGTTCCCAATTATGTTTAAGTGTAGAAATAGCAATGATGTGGAAACTTACATTCATCAAATATTAGCATTTAAAATATACATGACTAATAAAATGAACATTCAAAGGAGCCACTGCTCAGCATGTTCCATGTTGGCCACTTGTGGACAGTGATCTCATCCAAAGAGAACAGAAGTTTTGAACATCTGAGAAGTTAAAAATAGGATGAAGGGGAAATAAAAGAACAGGATAAGCTTCCTCCAATAAGAGCAGTAGGTGATGCCCACACGTCGTAAACAGCTTGATTTCAACAATAGGTGCACATGGGACGTGTGATAATGCCTGGCAGAACCTGGGAAGCTCATGTCCATGGACAGGCTCATGCATAGCATGGACCAATGTTTTCACAACTCAGGATGAACTTTTCTGTCCCCAGTTAGCAGTGAAAATAATTTTAAAAAATAGTTTCAGCCTTTGAACAGTAAATTTCCAGTCCCTTCTGTGCACTGATATGTTTGGGATCTGTTGGGGAGAGCCTTGGTTTCAAGACTTGAACACATGCACAGCTCGCACCACGTACTGCCGGCAGATGGGACACTCACTCATGCGCTTGCCACACTTGGTACAGGTAACCATGTGCCCGCACTCGAGCAGGACACAGTCGATGACGGCGTCCATGCAGATGCGGCACAGGCTGTCATCTTCCTCATCCTGCAGCTGCAGCCGCTCACCATCTGAAAGGCAACAGAAGGCTGGGGCTGGGGGCATGGCTACCTGTCTGCCCAGCCCAAAGCTGAGCAGCCATCTGATGAGTGACCACTGTAGGCCCAATACCCACCCCAGAGCTGTAGAGGAAATAATCCCAACTTCTTTGCACTTTGATTCCCTTCACTGGAAATGGCAATAACAACAATGCCTACACCTCAGAGTTTTGTGAATAAAAAGAAATGCTTGGCTTAGGGCCAGGTAAGATGTGCCCAACAAATGTTAGCTACTTATTTCTGTTTTATATCTTTGTGTAATTTAAGGTGTTGGGCTTGCTGGTTAGTTCATTTGGTTAGAGTATGGTGCTAATAACACCAAGGCCAAGGGTTTAGATCTCCTTACTGGCCAGCTGCCAAAAAAAAAAAAAGTTGTGATAAATACATATTAGTTTTATAATTAGAAAAAGAAAGAAACCTAGGTTGGAGTCTGAAACAGGACACTGCTGGAATTTTAACTCCGTTGCCCTAGCTTATGTGGCCTGGGAAAGTTGCAGTCTACAGAGACTCATCTCAGTAGGATGAGGAGCTTTATTTATTTCCACACTCACAGGAAAGTTAGGAATAATCCTACATCAAGTAGTGAAGGACCCCCTTCCCACCAGTCTTAGAAGCATTTCAAGCCATCTAACTGTGTTCCTGGCCACTCTGGCACTGGTGGAGTCTGTTTAACTCAGGGATGAGCCATCGTGGGTCTGTGGCCCAGATTTAGGTTCTGAGAAAATCCAGGCTCTGAACAAGGAGGGCAATGGATGAGTTTTAAAAAACCTCAGCCAGAGATTTGGCCACATGGCTATGGACTTTGAGGCTTCCCTTTCTACAGGTCTTAGAAGGGATCAATGGGAATCATGAATATGGTTAGAAAAACCAGAACAGGAATTCAAGCATGAGGGGCCAGTAGTCTCTGGATTTCAGAGAAATAAACATTTCACAGCCTCCCATGTCAAGAGACTACTGGTGTAGACCTGGGAGAAAAGATCTAATGGGATGAGATGGCAGAGGAGCCAATGGAGAAGATACTAGAGGATTTCTGAGATTAAATCAGATTCTGGGGGCTGGCTGGTTAGCTCAGTTGGTTAGAGCACAGTCTTAATATCATCAAGGTCAAGGGTTCAGATCCCCAAACCAGCCAGCAGCCAAAAAAGATATTTTTAAAAATGAATAAATGGGGCCGGCCCGGTGGCGCACTGGAGAGTGCGCCACTTGGGAGTGTGGTGATGCTCCCGCCGAGGGTTCGGATCCCATGTGGAGACTGGTTCCCGCTCACTGGCTGAGCGCGGTGCGGGCGCAACACCAAGGGTTGCGATCCCGTTGCCGGTCCCCGGTACGGGCGCGACACTGAGGGCTGCGATCCCGTTACCGGTCAGTAAAAAAAGACAAAAAGGAAAAA